AGTCCTGAAAAACTAAAGTAAATTATCTTCCTATGTTCTCCCTTCCTCTGCTCCAAAGATATTGCAGCAAATTGGAAAATCCCACCGGAGATGCAGATCAATCATTAGGCCTCAAACTGGTGTAGGAAAAGACTAGTTATAAGCTTGAGATCATGCATTGAGCCTATTTGAACCATTTATAAATTTTCAGATATAATATATATCTAGGGCTTATGTAAGAATTAGAAGTTTCGAGGTTCTCCTCCTTCAAATGTATAGCATTACACATTTAAAGTGCTGAGAGAATAATGGTTGTGGGGAATTTTTTGTGTATTATTCTCCTTGTAGGAGATCATATTTATAGTACAATAAAGCCTTGGAGGCCATGTTCATTAGGAATCATTGGCGTGCAAGGGAAGTCAATTGCTAGTCACAAGTCACGCCAACACTCCCCCTTAAGTTGGCGCATAGATGTCGTCGATGCCTAACTTGTCCAGTGAGTTGTGGAATGCCTTACCAGAAACGGCCTTCGTTAATATGTCTGCCAACTATTCTTCTAACTTAAAAAAGGAAACTAAATTTCTTTTTCTTGAGATTCTGCTTAATAAAATGTCCACCCACTTCAACATGTTTACGATCATGCTGAACTGGATTATGTGCAATGAATATTGTGGCCTTGTTGTCACAAAACAAATTCATCCTAGATGTAGGTGCATATCCAAGCTTAACAGTCAAACCATAGAAGAGACTTCAAATTACATATTGCACCTCAAAAAACCCAAGACACTTTTATAATTGATTTTTACAATAACTTATATCTAGTATAACAAGGCCAACCACATGTTCAATTGATGAAGGTACACATTACCACAATTTTGAACAAATTTGTCATATCTTTTGAAAATTCTTAAATATTTTTCACTTTTGAGCAACAAGAAAAACTGAAAAAATTAAAGAGAATTCATTTCCACCTTACTTGGGAAGCTGTTAATCAGAGTTGCCCAATTCACACCCCCCCCCTCCCTTTCCTCCTCCTCTAGCGAACCAGGAATTGGTTCAACTATTCTGAATCAAGGTGAGTTCGCGACCAAGATCGTAATCGAACCATGGACATGAAAAGAAGATTGCGTACCTCTATTTGGCAGTGTATCCATGGCTGACAATTTGTCTTGGTGAGAAGATAACCAAGAGTTTTAGTTTGAGATGAACTCTGACTCAAAAAAAAATATGCCTTCTTGACTAGTGACGTGTGGGATGAAGAGGCCTTCTTGACTTAAAAAAAAGAAGACTTATAGGGAATTTGGAAGGGTGGCGTTTGGGATGTTGTGTCGGTTTAGAGTTTCAAGTTAAAGTGAATGTATGGTGGAGAATGGGTGCTGTGCAAATTAAATAAACCAATTAAGTACAAAAATTAAAATTATGACATAAACATCATACACAAAAATTGACCATCACAAAAAAAAAAAAAAAAAAAAAAAAAAAAAAAAAAAACTAGAAGAAGTTTATTTAGAACAATGTCATTAAACATGTTTATTTAGGAAAATAAAAGTTGTGTCCAGGAGAAGTTTATTTAGGAATAATGTCATTAAACATGTTGTTTCCCCTTGCTTTTTGAAGTGTTTCTTGAGCTCCCTTCATTAGTGGATGTAGCAGAATGTGAAGATGATGCTACATCATCTTCATTTGCAGCTTCGCCTACATAATCACCATCCAAATATTTCCATCGTAGGTCCTCCAATCTTGCAACAAAATCATCCAAGCTTTTATTATGAATCAATATCCCATCTCTTAAAACGTTCATCCCTGTAGCTTTCACTAAAAGGAGATCGTAGACGAATTTTGGAATGGATAAAAACCAATTGATCGACTCTTCTAGTACTCAGCTTATTTCTCTTTACACTTATGTGCTCCATATTCGTTCATTAAACGAACTTGATATTGGTTGAGCAAACACCTTAATAATAGAGCATTTTTGCTCATCACTTTAACCTAAGGTGTACCCTCACCACGCTTCTTAACATTTGTCAATGTCTATTGACATAACCATGGTTTACAAAGTAAAGAGTTAACTATGGTTATACCAATGGACACGTGTTAAGTGTTGAGAAGGGTGGTGAGGGTACATCTTGGGTTAAAGTGGTAAGCAAAAATATTTATCCTTGAAAAAATCAATTGAATTAATAATATATAAAATAATATTTAATAAATAGTAAAATTAAATAATACCTTTTTAGCCACCTTTACTAAGTCTGGAGTTTCTGAAGCATATGTTGACCATCAATTCAATAGCATTCATTACCACTGCATCTGTTTGGGCAATCAATATAGCATAAAGATCTTTCCGTTGATGAAAGCGAGCATATTACTCTCGTAGCTCTCTAACCTTGTGTGCATCTTCTGCTGTTTTATCAAAAGCAGCCATGACACCCATTATTACTTCCTTATCTTACTTGGAAATCAGAATTTTATGGGAATAATCAGAATAATGATATTCTTCTCTCAAGGAGGCCATAGATAGTGATTTTACACCAGGAATTACAGGGAAGTAATTACATCAATTATGGGATCAAGAATCCTTCTATGGTAAGGAATCCTAATATTACAATAATTACATAATTAGAATAATTCAACACTCCTCCTCAAGTTGGGGCATAAATATCGAACATGCTCAACTTGCAAACACACTTGTCAAATATTCAACAAGAAACTGCCTTAGTGAGTAAATCAGCTAACTTATCTTTAGAGCGTACTTGAGGCACTTCCACAATCTTTTCATCTAATTTCTCCTTGATAAAAAAACCTGTCCAGTTTAACATGCTTTGTTTGATCATGCTGTACCGAATTGTGTGCAATATCACTCACTGCCTTACTGTCACAATATAATTTCATAGGTTCTTTTTGTGGATAACCTAAATCAATCAACAATAACTTTAATCATAACAATTCTTGAACTCCAAGGGTCATTCCCTTATATTTTGCTTCATCACTTGAACTAGAAACAACATTTTGTTTCTTACTTCTCCACGCGACAAGATTTCCACCAACAAATGTAAAATATCCTGACGTGGACCTTCTATCACCCACATCACTAGCCCAATCAGCATCAGTGTAGCCTTCGATCTTCAAATAGTTATCATCTTTTGCGAACAAAATTCCTTTTCTAGGAGTTGCTTTCAAATAGCTCAAAATTCTCATCACTGCATTCATATGTTTCTCTCTAGGATTATGCATATATTGACTAACAACACTTAATGCATAGGCAATATCAGGCCTTGTGTGAGCTAAGTACATCAGCTTTCCGACTAACCTCTAGTAACACCCTTTATTAGCAGCCACTTAATCAGCTTCAATCTCCAACTTCAATACTTCTTCCATGGGTGTATCTATGTCACTCAATAAATCTAATGCATATTTCCTTTTGAGATAAGAAGTTTCCCTCATGTTATCTAGAAACCTTAATTCCCAGAAAATATTTTAAATCACCAAGATCCTTCATTTCAAATTCTTGAGATAAATACTTCTTCAAAGCTTCTCATTCATCAATCATTCCTTGTAACCACCATATCATCAACATACACAATAAGAGCAGTAATTTTGTCATTCCGTCACTTCAAGAACATGGTGTGATATGAGTTACTTTGCATATATCTGAAATTTCTCATAGCTTTTGTAAATTTTCCAAACCATGCTCTTGGGGATTGCTTTAAACCATATAATGATTTTCTCAGTCTGCATACCTTATGTCTATGCTCAGTGGGTATTTGGCACCCAGGTGTAATATCCATATATACTTCTTCAGTTAAGTCTCTGTGAAGAAAAGCATTTTTCACCTCAAATTGTTTCAAGGGCCAATTCAAATTGATAGCCAATGATAGTAATACCCTTACCGTATTTATCTTTGCTACTAGAGTAAATGTCTCCATGTAATCAATGCCATATGTTTGAGTGTACCCCTTTGCAACCAATCGTGCCTTAAGGCGTTCGATTATACCATCTGCTTTATATTTCACTATATATATCCACCTACACCCAATTGGTTTCTTTCATGTAGGAAGATCAACAAGCTCCCATGTCCTATTCTTCTGAAGTGACTTCATCTCTTCATTCATAGCATTTTTCCGTTTAGAGTCAACTAAGACTTCCTGCACACTATTAGGAATAGATGCAGAAGATAATTCATAGACAAATGACTTATTTGATTCAAACAACTTCTGATCAGAAACATAATGACTCATGGGGTATTTCACTTTACTAGCAAGATCAGGTTCATATGTGAGTTTAGGAATACCTCTAGTAGAATGATTGGGCATCTGTCTCTTTGGTGGTGTAGGAACATCTTTAGCAATGGATTGGTTAGGTGTAGGCACTTGGTGTACTGAACAATCTATATCAACTTCATTATCCAATTGCAATGTGTCATCTTAGGGCAATGAAAACATAAACGCCGGAGATGAAAATGGTGATGCCGATGAATCTGGTAATGATAAATCCAATAATGATGGTGCCTTTGATGATATTAGGCTTTGTGGCATGAGCGACACCAATGAGGTCGCCAATGGGTATAGGAGACGCTCCCCCTGAGTTGGAGCAGTCATCCATCTCATAAATCTAAACATTATGACCGTAATCAAATAACTGAACTTCTTTATGGTGCTCCCCTTGAAGTTCAGGCTCATGGGAAAAACATGGTGTCTTCATGGAACACAACATCTCGAGTGACATACATGGTTTGGGATGGAGGGTGATAACAACAATACCCTTTCTGGGATGTGCCATAACCTACAAAAACACATTGTAAAGCACGATGAGCTAACTTACTCCGTTGTTTATGTAAATGGAAAAAAGCAGCACATCTCCAAAAATATGTGGTGGTAGATTGGAGATAGGAGAAGCGGCAATGGCTGCAGTAAGGCTTTGCAACGGTGTTTGAAATCCCAATGTACTGGAAAGAGTTTGATTAATCACATAAGCTGCAGATATAAGGGCTTCACCCCAATATAAGGGTGGCATATAGGCATCAATAAGAGAAGCGCGAACAACTCTAAGAGATGACGATTCTTTCTTTCAGCTATTCCATTTTGCTAAGGGATATATGGACAAGTGGTTTGATGGACGATGCTATGGGATTTTGTTGTTAATATGTTAACTCGCAATTGTACGGGCCAATTAGTAATGTAGCAAGACAAATACGAGGTCGTACCCACGAGGACTGAGAAGTTAAAATTAGTTATGTACTTAGATTACCAAATTCAAGAAAGTAGGAGGTTAAGTCTAAAATAGAATTTAAACCAAGAGTGATTGTAATTGTTGAACAAATGAGGCAAAACGAAATTTCAAACAAAAGCAAAGTGAGCAAATGTAACAAAGAGTGTTTTTGTGGGCTGGAAAACAGATTGGGAGACTAGGGCATTCGATTCACCATAACAATTCAATTCTAGGTTATAAGGAGTCAAGTGACAAGTCTAATTCAGATTCAAAGATTGATTCTAGCTAAAGAATAATTAGGCCATGGTGTCTGGTCCTAACATTGTGTTCCTAATTCCCTAACTTGATCATTTGTTGTCTAACCTAAATTAAGCATTAGGAACTCATTAAGCATAGAAGAACAATTTAAACAACCAAGCATGTATCTAATCCCTGTTGTCCAATGTCCATACATACTTTTCTTATTCATAGTTCAATTCGAATCAAAGCATGGTGTCTACTCTTGATTCAAACCAAGATAGCTAATATACAAGTTCTAATGGTGATCAATAATCCAAACAAGCATATTAACTGATAAGCATAATGAATAAGAACATGAATCATGAATAAAACTTGAAACTCAAAACTTCAACTTATAAACCCAGAATATTCATGTTAGGTTACATCGAAGTCCTAGTTATGAATTTAGCTACTCATAATGGAAATGAAACTTAAACAGAAAAGAAAAAACATAATGAATGTAATAAGAGTGGAAAAACCCATTTCTGAAGTTACTTGTGGTGTCCAAGGCTTCTCCAAGTGCTTCTCCACACCTAATGCTGCTCCAAGAGCTTTCTCACATCTAGAGTATGGCAACTAAAGAGGTGATTTGGGATGAGTTTGGGTGAGTGGTGATGGCAGAGAAAGAGGAAATTCGTAGGGAAATGGAAGGAAGGCTTGTTGGAGCTGTTTTGGTGATTTGGGACTGAATGGAGTGTTTGGGGAAGGATGGGAGTGTTAGAGGATGGCTGAAGTGAATTTTAGGCTGAATGGAGTGACATTTCTTTGAATGAGTGTGCATCACTCTATTTATAGAGTGCAAATTCGTGCTCCCCCTTTGGCTGGTGAAGCACACCAATTCCTAGCTGTTCCCATTTGTCTGAGCTGCCCATTAGGTTCCCATGCTGCTGATTTGATGTGTAGCCCATGCCTCTAGGAATGTCAATTGCCCATGCCTTCTGAGTTTCCATGCTGCTGATTTGATGTGTAGCCCATGCCTCTAGGAATGTCAATTGCCCATGCCTTCTGAGTTTCCATGCTGCTGATTTGATGTGTAGCCCATGCCTCTAGGAATGTCAATTGCCCATGCCTTCTGAGTTTCCATGCTGCTGATTTGATGTGTAGCCCATGCCTCTAGGAATGTCAGCTGCCCATGCCTTCTGAGTTTCCATGCTGCTGATTTGATGTGTAGCCCATGCCTCTAGGAATGTCAGCTGCCCATGCCTTCTGAGTTTCCATGCTGCTGATTTGATGTGTAGCCCATGCCTCTAGGAATGTCAGCTGCCCATGCCTTCTGAGTTTCCATGCTGCTGATTTGATGTGTAGCCCATGCCTCTAGGAATGTCAGCTGCCCATGCCTTCTGAGTTTCCATGCTGCTGATTTGATGTGTAGCCCATGCCTCTAGGAATGTCAGCTGCCCATGCCTTCTGAGTTTCCATGCTGCTGATTTGATGTGTAGCCCATGCCTCTAGGAATGTCAGCTGCCCATGCCTTCTGAGTTTCCATGCTGCTGATTTGATGTGTAGCCCATGCCTCTAGGAATGTCAGCTGCCCATGCCTTCTGAGTTTCCATGCTGCTGATTTGATGTGTAGCCCATGCCTCTAGGAATGTCAGCTGCCCATGCCTTCTGAGTTTCCATGCTGCTGATTTGATGTGTAGCCCATGCCTCTAGGAATGTCAGCTGCCCATGCCTTCTGAGTTTCCATGCTGCTGATTTGATGTGTAGCCCATGCCTCTAGGAATGTCAGCTGCCCATGCCTTCTGAGTTTCCATGCTGCTGATTTGATGTGTAGCCCATGCCTCTAGGAATGTCAGCTGCCCATGCCTTCTGAGTTTCCATGCTGCTGATTTGATGTGTAGCCCATGCCTCTAGGAATGTCAGCTGCCCATGCCTTCTGAGTTTCCATGCTGCTGATTTGATGTGTAGCCCATGCCTCTAGGAATGTCAGCTGCCCATGCCTTCTGAGTTTCCATGCTGCTGATTTGATGTGTAGCCCATGCCTCTAGGAATGTCAGCTGCCCATGCCTTCTGAGTTTCCATGCTGCTGATTTGATGTGTAGCCCATGCCTCTAGGAATGTCAGCTGCCCATGCCTTCTGAGTTTCCATGCTGCTGATTTGATGTGTAGCCCATGCCTCTAGGAATGTCAGCTGCCCATGCCTTCTGAGTTTCCATGCTGCTGATTTGATGTGTAGCCCATGCCTCTAGGAATGTCAGCTGCCCATGCCTTCTGAGTTTCCATGCTGCTGATTTGATGTGTAGCCCATGCCTCTAGGAATGTCAGCTGCCCATGCCTTCTGAGTTTCCATGCTGCTGATTTGATGTGTAGCCCATGCCTCTAGGAATGTCAGCTGCCCATGCCTTCTGAGTTTCCATGCTGCTGATTTGATGTGTAGCCCATGCCTCTAGGAATGTCAGCTGCCCATGCCTTCTGAGTTTCCATGCTGCTGATTTGATGTGTAGCCCATGCCTCTAGGAATGTCAGCTGCCCATGCCTTCTGAGTTTCCATGCTGCTGATTTGATGTGTAGCCCATGCCTCTAGGAATGTCAGCTGCCCATGCCTTCTGAGTTTCCATGCTGCTGATTTGATGTGTAGCCCATGCCTCTAGGAATGTCAGCTGCCCATGCCTTCTGAGTTTCCATGCTGCTGATTTGATGTGTAGCCCATGCCTCTAGGAATGTCAGCTGCCCATGCCTTCTGAGTTTCCATGCTGCTGATTTGATGTGTAGCCCATGCCTCTAGGAATGTCAGCTGCCCATGCCTTCTGAGTTTCCATGCTGCTGATTTGATGTGTAGCCCATGCCTCTAGGAATGTCAGCTGCCC